GGAAATATTATCAACCAAGGATTTAATCTTGGTCAGGTACTGCCGAATAGATTGGTCCTTCATACGAATGTGATACAATTCGTTTTTAAGCTGAATAACACGCGAACGGCTCGACGGTTGAAGCCGTCTTTCAAGAACGGACCAGGCCTCGTGAGTGGTCTTGGAAGTGATAATGTAGGGAAGAATTTCTTGGGAGATGGTAGAAAACAGGGCGGAAAGAAGGTTACTGTCAATCATTTGCCAGTTGGTGTGATCGACGGAGGAGGTGTCGCCGGGAGCCGTAGTTGTGCCAAGAAGATGGCCGGCGAAGCCGTTGGCCGTGAATTGTTGCTGAAGTTGTAATCTCCAAATCTGGTAGTTGTCCGACGTGAGAGAATAAGGAACCAAGTTCTTGAGGTTGGAAACAAGAAACTTGAGATGTTGAGGTATTGAAGGAGGAGCGGTGCTGTTGCCGGAAGGATTGGTGGTGGAGGAAGTAGGAGGAGGAGGAGAAAGATCAGAATCTTGATCTCCCATCATGGCTCTTGATACCATGAGAGAAATGCTGAGGAGGGAACGCACAGAGAGCGACGGGAAGAGAAACGGTAAAAGGGAAATTATTGTATTCGAACTAAACGGTGATACAGAGGAAGTATTTAATATAGAGCCAATGGCATAACAGTAATACGGTAATTACAAGTGTAATAATTATGCTAATAGCCTCCCGCAAATTAGGCATTCGAGGATCGAATGGTTAATTTGCTTTGAAGTTCGTGAACTGTGCCGGCGCTAGTGTTTTGGTGAGTATGTCGGCGATTTGATCTTTGGAGGATAGGTGAGTGAGATGGATGGCACCGGAGCTGATGTGTTCACGAATGAAGTGGTAGTCGATCTCAATATGCTTGGTTCTTGCGTGGAAGATGGGGTTCTTTGCAATAGCCATGGCGAAGGCGTTGTCGCAATGTATTGTTGTGGGTTTGTGTTGTGGTAATGTGAGCTCAGCGGCAAGTCGTCAGAGCCAAATGACCTCGGAGGTGGCCGCGGACAAAGATCCGTACTCGACTTCGGTTGACGATTTGGCAACGGTAACCTGCTTTTTTACTGTCCAAGAAATGAGATTTGGGCCTAAGAATGTACAAAATCCGGAAATCGATTTCCTATCACTGGCATCGGATGCCCAGTCGGCATCAGTGTAGGAGTGTAGTTTGAGATTTCCGGCTGAAATTGGTAGCCCGTAGGATAGAGTCCCTTTGATGTATCTTAGGAGTCTTTTGAGAGCTTTGAAATCCTGATTTGATGGATTTTGCATGTGTTGGCAAACTACATTTGTGGCGAAGGCGATGTCCGGCCGTGTGATAGAGAGATATTGCAGCGATCCAGCGAGTCTTCTGTACAGTGTTGGATCCGAAAAAGAGGTCTTGTCGGCTGGTTTTTGCTTGGACATGGACGAGCTTGGGGTGGGCGCGGGCTTGCAGTATGTGTAACCTGCATTATTGAGGAGTTTGGAAGCATAGTGAGTTTGGTTTAAAAAATGGCCTGTTGATGTTCGAAGGACCTGAATTCCAAGAAACAGAGAGATATCGCCAAGTTGCTTTAGCACGAATTGGGAGCGGAGTTGCGTGAGAAGAATCTTGATTGCGGGCTCATTATTTCCTGTTACAAGAAAATCATCCACATATATTAGAATGTAAATTTAAATTTGATCTTTATGAAGTATAAGTAGGGATGGATCGGAACGACTAAACCCAAAGCCTTGAGCCTGAAGAAATTCGGTGAGCTTTTGGAACCACTGTCTCGGCGCTTGTTTTAATCCATAGAGGGATTTGCGGAGTTTACAAACAAAGTCGAGATGATGCGTGTTTTAAAATCCTGGGGGTTGACGCATGTATATGTCATCGGGAAGGTCGCTATGTAGGAAAGCGTTGGAGATGTCAAGTTGTAGAATTTGCCATTGGCGGTTGAGGGCGAGTGTTAGTAGAAGATGTATCATGGGCATTTTTGCAACGGGGCTGATAGTCTCCATGTAGTTGATCCTGAACTTTTGATTGTAACCGAGAGCGACGAGTCGGGTTGATAGTGGAGGGATTCTGGTATGCTTGTGAGTGTGTTGGTCTTTGGTGGGTGTGGAGGAGATTTGGTAAGGAAATTGAGTTTCGTAGAAGACCATGTGACGCGAGATTAGAGATTTGCCGGTGCTTATGTTGAAACATGTATACCCTTTGTGTTGAGGTGAATAGCCAAGAAAGATGCACTTGTGAGATCGAGGTGCAAATTTGTTGGGGGCATAAGGTTTCATCCAAGGAAAGCATAACCAGCCGAAAGTGCGGAGGTGGGAATAAGAAGGAGGTGTGTCGTGCAGCCGTTGGAACGGGATTTGGAGCGAGATGGATTTCGAAGGAGGTGATTGATGAGATAGTGTGTAGTGGATATTGCGTCGGCCAAAAATTTGTGCGGTAGATTTGATGCGTGAAGAAGGGCACGAGTCAGTTCAAGAAGGTGCCAGTGTTTGAGTTCGGCGAGTCCATTTTGTTCCGGTGTGTGAGGACAGGAGAATTGTTGGCTTATGCCACGTTCTTGGAGAAAGGATTTGAATGCGTTACCGATGAATTCGTCACCGCCATCCGACCGGAGAGTTTTGGGTGCAGCGTGAAATTGCGTGTTAATGTGATTACATAAAATTTTAAATTTCGACAACGCTTCTTGTTTAGTGTACATGAAGTAGATCCAAGAGAAGCGCGTATAGTCGTCCACAAAGACGATATAGTAGCGAAATCCGTCGACAGAAGTATGTGGTGCCGGTCTCCAAACGACGGTATGAAGTAACTTAAAAGGAGCAGTAGTATTGGAAAAAAACTTTTATTAAAAACTTGCTTGTGGCTTTTGGCCACATTACAAGATGAGCAATCAAAAGAAGACGGTACACTAGAGATTTCCGGAAAACTGTGAGCAAGAACTGAAGTGATGTTGTTGTGCGGATGTCCTAACCGAGCATGCCAGAGGAGGGAAGCGTTGGTGGTAGCGGTTAGGGCTGTCGGGTTGGTGTCCGGAGCAACTTGAATTTGATAGAGTCCTTTATGAAGACGCCCATGAAGCAGTGGACGCTGGTCCTGTATATCCTTAATAATAAATCCGTGTGTCAAAAGTTATAGAAATAGAATTATCTGCAGTAAGATTTGAAACAGATAACAGATTATGTGTTAAGTTCGGTACGTGAAAGAGATTGTGAAGACGAAGTTTACGAGACGTGTCAGGTAGAGGAAGAAGTCCTTGACCTGCATTTTGGATGGGCAGTGATGTACCGTTGGCTACGGAGACGGAGTCGAAGCCTTGGTAGTTTGCGGGGTACTGAATATTCTGAATGGCTGGTGTTAGGTGGGTGGACTCTCCCGAGTCCACGATCCAATCTTGTGGTGTGGTAGAAGTCGGGTTTGCAAGAAGTGCCCGAGGTTGGCGAGGATCGGTGGGAGCGTATTTGAAATTGCACCTATGCCAACAGTTGAGGGCGATGTGTCTGATCTTGCCGCAGATTTGGCAAGTCGGTCGTGCGGTGGTGTTGGCTGTAGACGACGTGTGCTGATGGACCAGCGCAATGGTATTGTTCGGCGGGTTCTTTGGCTTGTTGAATCTTTTGTAGTTACGCCTGCGATTTTGGGTGTTAGGTGCGGCGTAGAGAGCACTAGCCGCCGTAGTGACCTGCTATTCTTGAAGAATGTCTTATTGAAGATGAATTTCTTCATTGCAAAGAAGTGCGTAGAAGGTGTCAAGATCAATGGGCAGGAGAGAGTTGTGAAAATTGGATTTGAAAGAATTAAAAGTGTGTGGCAGGCCATTCAAAATATGAAGGATGATGTCCTCTGGATCAATCTTGGATCCGGAGGCGGAAATGCTATCGATAAGGGATTTAATTTTGGTAAGATATTGCTGGATGGTTTGATCCTTCATGCGAATGTGGTATAATTCGTTTTTAAGTTGAATGACGCGTGATCTGCTCGACGGTTGAAGACGTCTTTCAAGAACAGACCATGCCTCATGGGTGGTCTTGGAGGTGATGATGTAGGGAAGAATTTCTTGGGAGATAGTGGAGAAAAGAGCTGAAAGAAGATTACTGTCGACAATTTGCCAGTTGGCATGGTCGGCGGAAGCGGTGTCGTCAGAAGCCATGGTTGTGCCGTTGAGATGGCCAGCGAAACCATTGGCTGTGAACTGCTGCTGAAGTTGCATCCTCCATATTATGTAGTTCTCCGACGTGAAAGAATACGGCACCAAGTTCTTGAGGTTCGAAACAAGAAATTTGAGAGGTTGGGGAATAGAAATTTGGATGATGTTGTTTCCGGTCTGGGTGGAGGATGAGGAAGGTGGAGGGGGAGAGTTGTCGGAATCTTGATCTCCCCTCATGGCTCTTGATACCATGAGAGATTGGCAGAGACGGACAGCACAGAGAGAGAAAGAAGGAAAAGGAAAATTATATTCATGTGTAAAACTGAGTACAGTGACGGTATTTAATATCGTGTAAATGGTAGATAGGTAATAAGCTAAATACAAGAGGTTTAATTATGTTAATACAAGGGACTCCTTTCTCCCACTAAATTCATGATTGTAGAGTGAGTATGCATCCTAATTTTGCAGGAATGTCTCACACACAAATAAATGAATGAAAAGAGCATAGGAGCAGGAGGTCAGAGTTATTATATGAAAATTTTGAGAAAGGAAAAAACTATAGTGCCTTGGCCAGTTGAAATAATATCACTAGGTTAGAGATTATAAGAAACTACAGCTGCATATCACTAGTTATTATAAGAAATATATTAAAAAGTCAAAGAAATAAGTACATATCTCTTCTCTCTCTCCATGCTTCTCTTCTCTCTTACACTATTCTCACACTCAAAACACAAGACAAAGTCAAGTTAATAACATCAAGGGACGCAACCCTAAAATCTAAACAAGAAAGAAAATTGTCAAGTCTGCCTCGTAGTGTTGTGGCACCAATTTGAAATTCTACGGCGCTCAAGCCTCTGTCATCATGATATTGCGGTGTTCAAACCCGCAACATTACGACGTCATACAGCATTGCAGCGCTGAATCTTGAGTGTTGCGGCACTTTGCTCTCTATCGATCAACGCAAGGGCGCTCAGGAATACAACATCGATGCTCCCGGGTACACAGTATTAGGGCATTGGGGTACACAGCATTGAGGCGTTGTACATAAAAAATTTTGGGTGGAAGCTGGCGGTAAAACCCCCGCACCCCCCAGCAAGCACAAGAATTTAACTTGAGGGAGATGACAAGTTTATTTCTTCCCATTATCATGCTTTCTTTCAAATCCCTAACTCACATTGCTCCTCTTCATGCAACCACCTTTCTCCCGCTAAATTCATGATTGTAGAGTGAGTGAGTATGCATCCTAATTTTATAGGAGTACCTCACACAAAAATAAATGAAAGAAAAGAGCACATGAGATCGCAGCAATTTGACTGCAAAGGTTTGGCAATGGTGGTCTGATGATGGAGGTAGCGCAATGGTGGTCCTATGGTAAAGGTCGG